AAGGGCTGTGGCGAAACCGACATCGCCACTGGGCTTTGGAGAAGACTGATTGCCAGCCTCTTGCCATGTGACTATGGCCCCTGGGATTTATTGCCCTTTAAAGACATGATTTGGGCATAAGGGATTTGTGTTGTGCTGCTGCTGGCCCTTTAAGAACCATCTGGGGACATACTGTGGAGTTACTGGGTGGCCACCATTTCCTGTATCAGAGGCACATGGTGAGAACAATGGATGAAGCACATGGTGAGAACAATGGATGGCGGCCATTTTAACTCACAGACACTGTTTGGACTTTTCAACACGGTGCCATCTCGCCGGTATTTGGTGCACAGAGACATCGTGCAGTGGTTTTGGACTATACAACAGGGGACACATTATACAGTAATTGTTTTTCATATAGCCTGTATATGTTCTGTGGAATCTGCATTAAACTGTATCTTCCACAGTACTGAACGGATCTGGGTGAATTTTGGATATGTGGTTCACCCAGATCCCCCGGTTCCAAGGATATACTTTTATGGGGTTATTGCATGTTTTGGGGACCCTGTGATGTGTTTTATGAAACTGTATTTCTCTGTCTGTGATAATTAGATTACCCATTGTGTTCAGTAATCATATCACAGGCAGAGGGGAGGATTTTGTGTGGGAGTGTCTGTGTGTATTGTACAGATTGATTGGTTGTTCTGTAAAACCCTGTGGGCAGTACTAAGTTTGTGGATTGGGAATAAAAGAGGCTGTATGTGCCAATACAGTCAGTTCCTGCTTAACCCTCAAAGTGAAGTGTCGTCTCATTATTGGGGGAGGATTTATTGTATGCTGTTCCAGTTTGACTGCTAGGAGTGTAAACCTATTCGCATGGTTTTTCCTATTCGGCTGTATACAACATTCATATGCTTGAGAGCATTCATATGCATCTTCGGTTCGGTGGTTGTGGTGTCTGCTGCAGTGCTTGGAGTCCTCAGGAAGCGCTAGGAGCATCCTTCAATGGAGGTACCCAGTCGGGGTGCCAGGTGATCCGTTACAAGGGCGATATCTGCTTTTTTGGATCTAAGTTGCCTCCAAAGTAGTCTTCGCTAGTTGAGGGAGTTGAGCCCCTTTATGTTGAGAGATATAACCTTCAAAGCCACCTGAGAGTGAGTTGTGTGCTGTCCCCCGCTTGTGAGACCCTTATGAAGCACTGACCTCTGCGTCTGGTCTTTACATAACCTTGGGACCCTGTCATATCCTCCATCTCTTCCTTTACCCCGCGCCATGGATCGTAATAAACAACAGAACATAACGAAACATTGTAAAGAAAAAACATAGAATTGAAAATCAAAATTATTCCACGAAGTCTGGTCTTACGAATTGCCAGAGCAGCTTGGTGGTGTGAGCCTCCCCCGTCCGGCGATACCAAAGTTCCGGTCAAAGAAGGTGGCTCCCAGCCCCAATCCGCTGTGCTACAAAATGCAAGACCCATGTAGCTCAAACATGTCCCGTTACTTTATTCAATGTGGCCTATGGGCATATCTATAAGCAATACCCACCCGGGTGTCCTGGGCTGTTCCCGCCAGCAGGGAGGTTATGCCGCTGTTTAACCCTTTTAGGTAAAGTGTTTCAGTGAAATTGGGGTTCCCAAGAGCTCCTTTACGGCAGAGGTCCCCCTCCTGAGATTTATCCTCCCTACCTTCCGATGGTGGAGGAGCGCCCTATTTGGGTCAGAGCATACAGAGTCTCTCGAGCTAGGCCCAAGTGGGTGCTGTAGAGTGCCCTGAAGAGAGTCTAACTGGGGCCCCTGTGGGGATGGCCTATTGTACCACTGTAACATTATTTTTATTTATTTGTGTTTGTTTTTTGTTTTGTTTTTCTTTTTTTACAATGATTTGTGGTATGAGTCCCTGCAATTGACTTTGAGCGCCCTCGGGGAGTGCCAAGATAGTGAGACTGACTACCCGTGGCAGAGTTGCCGTGTCCTACCGTCCATTTTGAGCGGCGTCCGTTCCGGCAGACCTCCCCACGTGATATACTACTGGATTGTTACCCTCCGTCTACCCTCTGCCAAACCCCTGTCATTCCTCTGAGACAAGAAGAACCCCAAATGTGTAATAAAAGAGCTATACATGCAGCATGAGGCTAACAAAGTGCCTTCTCCTTCCGCGGCATAAGGCCATATCCACTCCCCACACCCGTTCCCCCACCCCCCTTCTTGACCACCTGGAGATTGTTCCGCCTGGAGCAGTTCGATAGATCTTTGACCTGCATCTCTAGCTGGTCTATCTGCTGGGCCATAAGTTCTGCATGAGATGTTGCCGTATTTTGCGCCTGCACCACTGATTCCACCCTGTGCTTCAGTTGGGATGTGCGGGCCCTGAGGGCTTGAATCTTTGCCTTCGCTTCTCTCGAGCTGTGGGAGATCTTGCTTGCGAGGTAGGATCTTACTTCCGTGAGCTTTTGGAGGATTTGGGTTGCCTCCTCCGTGTGGAAGGCAGGCTCATCATTCCCCGCCATTGATACTGGGGATAGAGAGCTGGTGGCCATCTTGTGAGGCCTGTAGTGGGCGAGGAACTGCCATCAGCTTCAACACGCTGGGATGTGATTCCTGCTGGTGACCATGCTTCCTGCGCGGCTGTTTAGTTCCGGAGCTGGTCCCAGACATTCTTTAGTGGATTTGGATGCTTTTAGGGTCTTGATGCATATGATAAGTGCTGGATTCTGTTCGAATTGTCAGGATCTCTCAAATCATGCAGCCATTCAGGGCGACAGCCAGACCACGCCCCCTGGAGCGACATTTTTATTGTTGTCTTTTCCTACCTTGTTCCATCAGTGTTACCATTGCATTGTATTGGTCTTGTGGTGGAAGTGTTTATCCAACTAGTTACTTTGGATGGAATGTGATATCGCACTGTGATTCATCTTTCGGTGGCTGTGTAAGTTTAAAGTGACAGGCAGGTGGGAGTACCACCCCTTAAATGCCATGCTTGGCCCATAGTGTGTGGTAATAATTATCCCCTCCTTTTAGGGCCCAACATGATTACCGCCCTCTGGGCCAGCTGATTAATTTAGGTCCATTTGTCCATTAGTTTAGGTTTCATTAGGTGTTACCTTTTATTTGATTGGCTGTACTTGAGGCTGTCCGTCAATTATGTTTTTTTTTAAATACTATTTATATACCGGTCTTTAATGCTGTCGACTTCGAGACACAAATGAAGGCCCAATAGTAGCACCAAAATGCACTTCGGGCACTTCACTTTATTTGACATACATATTTTCTCACTTTTTGGTTGAGCACATTATGAATTGATATTATCACTAAATTGGACAGTTAGTGGGTGGTAGGGAAATTTGAATTATATAGTTATGTAGCTGCAAAGAGACATGCGTCCATCAAGTTCAGCCTTACTCACATTTGTTTTTGCTGTTGATCCAAACTCAGTTTGAAACACTTCCAATTTTGCAACAAACTATACAAATATTTCCCAAGAATGGCAGTCAGATCTCTCCTTGGATCATAAAGCTATTACCCCACTAATTAAAATGATATCACTGATTATGTTTTTGCAAGTATTTATCCAATTGTTTCTTAAACATCTATATAGACTCTGATAAAACCACCTCTTTAGACAGAGAATTTTGGATCCTTATTGTTCTTACTGTAAAAAAAACCCTTTCCTTTGCCTTAGACTAAATATCTTTTCTTCCAGTCGAAATACGTGACATTGTGTCCTTTGTATAGTCCTGTTTGTGAATAGATTTCCAGACAATGTGCCTCTGCACTTTTTCTAGTGCCATAATATCCTTCTTTAGAACAGGTGCCCAAAATTGCACAGCATATTCAAGGTGTGGTCTTACCAGTGATTTCTAAAGGGGCAAAATTATATTTTCATCCTGAGAATTAATGCCCCTTTATATACATCACAATACCTTACTGGCCTTAGCAAATGCTGATTGACATTACAAATTGTTGCCTAGTTTGTTATCTATAACAATTCCCAAATCCTTCTCATGTGTTGTTATCCCTCATTCACTACCTGTATGGTGTACAGTGCTTGTGCATTTTACCCTAAAGTGCATAACTTTGCATTTTTCTACATCCCTCTGCAGCAAAGTAATATCTTACTCACTTTGCATTACTTTACAGAATTTTGTGTTATCTGCAAACATGTAAACATGTATTTCAATGCCTATTTGAAGATAATTTATAAATATATTAAATTGAAGCAGTCCCAGAACAGAACCCTGAGGGGCACCACTTACCACTTTTGTCCAGCTTGAAAATGTACCATTAATGACAACTCTTTGTACTCTATCTTTAAGCCAATTTTCTACCCAAGAACAAGAATTTTCATCTATACCAATTTCTTTTAGTTTGAAAACTAACCTATTGTATGGAACTGTATCAATTTCCTTTTGTGGAGGCCTACTGGTTATAATTTAGGTCAATCCTAGCGGATGATGGGAGTGAGTCACAATAGACTTTGATACTCTCTTGGTCTCCCTTTTTGAATACAGACCAGGTATACTAGTGGGAAGACTATCATTATTATTATTATTATTGCCATTTATATAGCGCCAACAGATTCCGTAGCGCATTACAATATTTTGAGGGGATGTAACAATAAATAGGACAATTACAAGAAAACTTACAGGAACAATAGGTTGAAGAGGACCCTGCTCAAACGAGCTTACAGACTATAGGAGGTAGGGTATTAGAAACATTAGGACATGGAATATCAAGTAGGAGTGAAGCAGAGCTGGAGGAGAGAGCAAAGCACTGTCCCATAGGAGAGAGCAGGAGACAGGTATGTAAGGTAGAGATTACTCTGGGAGGCCATAAGCTTTCCTGAAGAGATGGGTTTTAAGGCCTTTCTTAAATGATTGAAGACTAGGGGAGAGTCTGATGGCAGTAGGCAAGCTATTCCATAGGAGAGGAGCCGCCCGCGAGAGGTCCTGCAAGCGCGAGTTGGCCGTACGGGTGCGAGCAGCGGTCAGGAGGTGGTCACGGGCAGAGCGGAGGGTACGAGGAGGGGCATATCTATGGATTAGTGAAGAGATATAAGTGGGGCTAGAATTGTTCAGTGCTTTAAATGTATGGGTTAACACTTTGAATTGACTCCTATAGCATACAGGGAGCCAATGTAAGGACCGGCAGAGGGGTGAGGTGTGAGAGGACCGACTAGAGAGGAAAATCAGTCTAGCTGCAGCATTCATTACAGACTGTAGCGGGGCAATACGGCTTTTGGGGAGACCAATCAGGAGAGGGTTACAGTAATCCATGCGGGAAATTACTAGAGCATGGACAAGCTCCTTGGTAGCATCTTGCGTAAGAAAGGGGCGAATGCGGGCTATGTTTTTGAGTTGGAACCTACAGGACTTGGCAACAAACTGGATGTGAGACTCAAAGGTGAGACCAGAGTCAAGTATGACGCCAAGACAGCGCGCTTGCAGGGATGGACTTATGTGGATATCACTGACTTGAAGGGAGAGCGAGAGAGGAGGATCAGTATTAGGAGGAGGAAAGACAAGGAGTTCAGTTTTAGAGAGGTTAAGTTTCAGAAAGCGTGAGGACATCTAGTCAGAGATGGAAGAAAGGCAAGCAGTGACACGTTGCAGGACGGCAGGGGAGAGGTCCGGGGAGGAGAGGTATATCTAAGTGTCATCAGCGTACAGGTGGTAGTGGAATCCAAAAGAGGCAATAAGTTTACCAAGAGAGGCAGTATAAAGAGAAAATAGAAGGGGACCAAGGACAGACCCTTGGGGAACTCCAACCGAGACAGGACGAGGGGAGGAGGTGTTCTTGGAAAAGGAGACAATGAATGAGCGTTGGGAGAGATAGGAGGAAAACCAAGAGAGGACAGAGTCACAGAGACCGAGCGATTGAAGAGTTTGAAGGAGGAGAGCATGATCAACGGTGTCAAAGGCAGCAGAGGTCAAGGAGAATTAATGGATCGGTTTGATCCTCCCTGCATTTATTATGTTATTCATTTGTCAATTTATCCTTCCTCCTTGGATGTTAATCAGGAATTTTTTAGGATATATATTTAGAACTGGTGTATATTTACATTTCAGCTTGGATACTGCCAGTGGGTCTGTCTCATGAAATGTTGCACTTCTGTGTTAACAATATCTCATAGATTAAATTAAGAGATGCTTTGTAGCCCCTTAGTCCACAGGGAAACCTGAAGTTGGTCACTGTCAAATTACTCTTTTTCATTAAATGTTACTAGATTTTTTTTTTATTCCAAAAAATCAATTTAAGTATCTACTGATAGGAGATTAGTTAATACTCCCATTAGCCGCTATAACTTCTTTTAAGCTCTTTTATCCACTATTTAGTATTTTTGAAATTAAATAAAGCTGTTTATTATTTTCTGTTTCTATTTATTTGATTTGATTTAAGACTTGTCTGTGTCTGATATGCTATTTATGCATATTTCAAAACGTTGTTTAGTATGTGGATTATTGAGTTACTCTCAATTACAAGTCCTTAAACACGGCCATAAGTTCCCCTAGTGGTGACTTCTCCTTATTGTGTATAGATATATTTGTATGTATACAGATATATGCAGCTATAGCAGACAAGTAATTAATGCATTAACATTTAGAAATGTGTTCTAATGCGTGCTATTTTAATACCATTTAATGCTCCACTTGTACACATGGATACATTTTTAGTTAGATCTGCTAGTGATTACCTGCTGCATCGCAGTCAATGTAACCTCACAGTGTTTTAATAGAAGTTCTTTTAATATATCAGCTTGTTCCATCATGCCAGATAATAGATATTGATTTAGTATTTAATCTACAATATATATTGTAACAACTATAATATAAATATTTTACATTTATTGGATAGTTGTTTAAAAGAATTTGTTTAAAGATAGATTCCATGATGCAGTCAAGGCAAAGAGCACCAGACCACGAGTTAGAATTTTCATTGGAATGAAAGTGTAAGTTCGACAGATATGAATGTTTTACAAAGCATAATATGCTCAATACTATTTTTAACATTTATTGCTATTGAGTTAGCATGATCCTCATTTTTATATTTCAAACATTTTTGTACGTGTTTTTGTATTGTAGTTCGCAACTGATTCCAGGACACCGTAACATGTGTAGTGTGAGCTTCAAGAATAAAATACAGAGGAAGAGAGTATCACAGTGTGTCAAATACAATATAAATCAGGACACTTACTACATGCGTAAAAGATCGGGGGCTTTAGCCAAAAAAGATATTTGAGAGACACACACACAATCTTTTACACATAAACACACACACAACCTCTGACTACCTTTTGCTGGTGATCCAGTATACTTCTCTGCACCTCTGCCGGATGCAGACAGTTTGGGTTTCTCTCACAATCTTCGGCATTCATAAGGTTGCCGTGATAACCCGGGGCAATGCTCAACAGCCAGAGCCCGTGGCAGCCATGACAGTGGTGTGCTCCCAGCAAAGGTACTCTCTGCCCCCTTCCTCCCACATTTGCTTTGACATTGTGCCATTCATTACTGTTAGCCCTGAATCCCCTGTTCTTGCTAGGGGAATATTGGAAAATTTAAACCCAGGGCTTTTTAGAGTCTCACACAAGACACTGGCATGGGTTTGCCTCCCCACTGACATCCCTAATATAATTGTTAACCAGTTAATGTGGTTGTCAACCCATATATCAAACTTAATCTTAGAATTCTTTCTTCCTGAAAGCAACAAATAATAATACATGAAAAACAATAAAGTTAAATAAAAGAATTAGCCATAATACTCATCTTGAGAAGAATGGGACTATAAGTGGGTTATATCTATTTTAATTAAACAAAATTATATTCCACTGGAGGCACTTTCTGGCCTTTCAAAGAGCCTGACTCCGTGAAGCAACACTGGACGTCCTGATGCTTTGCACGACGGCATCCAGTGTCTTCTAAAACACTAGGGAAGCAATCAGTCACTTCTTTATGGGGAAGGCCTAATGTGTCTCTTCATCGGCTGACATCTACAGAGGAGGAGCGCAACACAGCGCAGAGGGACTTCGGTACTGGAATCCGGTAACTGAAAAATGGGTTATTCAATTCTTAACTTGTCACCGGGTGGATAGCGAGGGTGGGGTTTATCGAAATGTTTGCTGAATGAGTTCTCTCTCTATTTACAGGTTTCCTGGGGAATGAGAATGTATCCTTGAAATGAATCACCTTTTTACATTTTAAAAATCAACAAGCCATCACACGAAAATGTTCGATAAATATTCTGTCTAGTGAGAACTGGTATCATGGGGGGAATGGGTGCTGTAGAAATATACTCTAACCACAAAAACACAAACTAGTGCCCTCTCCAGCCAATGTAAAGAGCTTTCTCTGAAAGGAAGACTAAGCGTCTACTAAACAGAGCTCAGATTGGCAGTTCTGGAGCCGCATGAGAGAATGCCCTAGAGCAGTGTTTCACAATTGGTATTCCTAAGTGTCCCTAGGGTTCCACGAGAACAGCGGAGACCTGGCAACCGCGATCTCATAATAGATTGCGGGAGCGCGCTCTTAAGCCCGCCCAGCTGTCAGCCCGCCTTGCCATCAGCTAGCCTTGCCATCAGTGCCTGCCCTTCGCCCGCCCTGCCATCAGCCAGCCACTTAGACTTAGCCCATCCGTCAGCCAGCCCGCCAAGCCGTCAGCAAGCTAGCCCTGCCATCAGCCATTTTCTATCACTCGTGGTAGAAGAGTGATAGAGAGTGGAGCTGATAGTTAAAGCTCTGTTATTGTCAGATAGAAAGCTCTGTTAGGTAGGGACATAGAAAGCTCTTTTAGGTGGGGAAATAGAAAGCTCTGTTAAGTAGGGACATTGAAATTCTCTGTTCGGGACATTGAAAGCCTCTGTCAGGGGCATTGAAATTCTCTGTCAGGGGCATTGAAAGACTCTGTCAGGGGCATTGAAATTCTCTGCTAGGGACATTAAAAGGCTCTGTGAAGGACATTAAAAGGCTCTGTGAGGGGCATTGAAATTCTCTGCTAGGGACATTAACCCCTTAAGGACACAACTTCTGGAATAAAAGGGAATCATGACGGAATATTTCCGTCATGTGTCCTTAAAGGGTTAAAAGGCTCAGTAAGGGACATTAAAAGGCTCTGTCAGGGGCATTGAAAGACTCTGTGAGGGACAAAATCTGTTAACTATATTTTTCAAAGTGTTCAGATCTTTTTCCTCCAAGTCTAACTAAAAAATCCTGCTTTAGTTCAGTTCTTTCTAAGGGCGTTATCAAAATCAGCATCCTATTCAGTCAGGTTGTGATATCTGTATTTTTCAAAATGTTTTTTTTTTTTTTTTACCAATAAACAACCATGAGTTTGGAAAGCTGGTTAAAGTAGGGAACTCTTCAGAGAAAAATTATTACTACTTTACGTGTTCGGCACTAATAGAAACTGAGAAAGAAGATACAACTAACAATCCAGAAAACATGCCCGAAATAGTTGTATCTACTGTTCCTCAAATAGCAGAGACAAGTGACAAGTCAAAAAAAAAAAAGAAAAGCACACAATGCTAGCCAATCTTTGTAGCGGAGATGCAATATTACCCAGGTTATCTCCGCTTATAATCCAAGTGAGGCTCAGGAACAAGTAAATAGTAAATCCACAGGCAAGGCTTCCAGCAGGTAAAATACAGCAATATCCCAACAGCAATCCCAATAACTGGACGACACACACAGTTTCAGGAGCAGAACTGAAAGCTTTTAATCCCCAGTTTCCTTATAAAGCATGCTCCCATGCAAGGGAGGGATTTACAGTAATTATTACAGTAGCCAATCCTGTCCTGGTAACCTCCCACACATCTCCTCCCCTCAGCCAGCATCATAATCCCCTTATCCAGCACACCAATTCCCCCCGTTTCTGGATGTACCCCTAAATGTAGGGGTACCTCTTTAAATCCTACATCCCCGGATACCCCTGATCTGGGTGAACAACATATCCAAAAATCACCCAGATCAGACCAGGTTTGTGGAGGTCTCAGCGGTGTTCGCCTACTCGAGTGTCCGATTTTAGTTCCAGACACTCGACGGCAAAACACCGCTGTTCGGGAGTTTTAAAATGGCCGCCGCCACGCGTTCGTTTGTCGAATGGCGGCCACCCCCGAGAACAAAGGACGGCTACTTACTATTCAATTACCCGTTCGCAACAATGTTGCAACGGGTAATTGAGGACACACTTCACACAGGGGAGGTCTGGTTGTTCGGTATTTTCATTCGAATAAACTAAGGGAATGAAACTACCGAACAATCAGAGGAATACAATTC